AACCCATTCCTCTGTTTATTATGTGCTGAAATTATACTAGTCTTGGAAACATTTTTAGTGAACATAGTATTCACCAGAAACTAAGGTATTCATCCCTATTTACAGTTTGTACTTGTCAGAATTTACCCATTGTTCCTTGTACATAGTTACCAATTCACATTTTTTTGAAACACTCTGAAGTAATAAGACAAGAAAAACTATCTTTTTTTTCTGTGTTAACTTTCTTTTGATGAATAATTTTTACCTACTGTAGACAGGAAGATTTTCTCACACACAGTACTTAATAACCTGACTGTAGTTAGATGTGGTTTGTTCTAAACCTGTTGCACATTTCTCAGCATATATCACGATTGTCCCTCGCTATGGGAAAGAGCTCTCATTTTACAATCACATTCATCTGTTCTGGCGACCTGGTATTACAAATACTGTTAAATTACTTTGACTTATTTTATGTAACAAATGCTGAAATATTAAGAGAGACTACAGAAAATGTTGTAATATGTATAAATTATTTGTGAAAGTACCCTTTTTGGGTACATTTAGCAAATGCTTTTGGCTAACTAGAGAAGTAGACTATTGATCACGTGTAACAAATACATGGAATTTACCATCCAAGTTTCAGGAATATATATTTTATATATATATGTATACTATAAAATAATATTTTATCTGATAATGCTGCCAAAGTAATTCCAAGAACTTGAGTTAGGTTACTAACATTTTAAAATTAATCCTTCAGGATTTTTCTGTGGTGGTATCTAAGTGTGGCTATTGTATTGTCTTTAAAGTTCTAATGAAAATAGCTCAGGGCTTCTGGAAAGGAAACAAGGGGAAAAAACTTACAGTTTTGCTCACTTTAGAAAAGAATGTGAAAAAATACACTGTAGCAATTTTATTTAGAATCTCTCAATAACTTTTTGCTCTACCGTTAACGAAAGTGAAAATAACTTCTAGCAAAGTCTATCTGGTCTCCTCCATCAGTGACTGTGCAAGAACAACAGTGTCTTACAAATGTCAAAGGGGAGGTGTGGGTTCTAGGGCTGAAGCTGCAAACCTAGTTACTCAAACTTGTGGTAGGAAAGAGACAGTCAGTCTGGTTCCATCTGAGAGAGAAATGAGGGGCTTGGATTTTTTTTTTTTCCTCTTAGTAGTAGAACTGCCATTGTCAGATTGGTAATGGCTGCAAATGTAGGTGCAAAGGAGTTAAGAAAAAAACCCCAGAATTGAGGTTGACCGTGTGAACTTGGTTATATTCATAGGTATTATGACCGTGTCATTACTAATATGATCCCTTACGATATTTTTGCAGTATTTTTGTTTAGACACACAGGGAACTACGCTGCATCAGGACACCACCAGTGTGTGGTTGTCTGTTGTCTGAACAGTATCGACCTTATTAATTCCCAAATGTGGAAGATGCTTGGTGCAGGCTGTCAGGTGGCCATGAGGCTGAATGCCATCTTTGAATTCCCTCCCTGCCTCTGCCACCAGAGTTGTTAGGAGATGCTGAGCAAATCATATAAACTGACACAGTCTCATTTAGTCACTAATTGTGTGTTACTAATTTTCTTAATACCCAAACTAGGGCACCTGTGACCGAACTCAGAGCTGTATCAAGTGTTCACCACTGCAAATGAGATATAATGGGAACAGCACTTTAAGTGTGTGCAATAAAACTGTTAAGTATACTTGACATTGAGAGATGTCGGTCTAGGCACCCAGAATTAGTTTCAGTCTCTCTTTATTCTCCACTTTCTTATGTAAAAATAATAGTATAACCTAATCTTGCAAAAATTGTGAAAAAGAGCACTAATATTTGCAGGGCAGTAGGTGCCATTGCAGTGAGTGATGAATTATGCACCTAAGCTAGAAACCTAGTTATCTTTTGTAGGAGAACATGTACTACTTTTATTTATATTTAGGTCAGACCCTGCAGAAGACTTCCTGTTCTTTCACTTATTTAAATTAATTTAAAATTGAATTCTTAGTATAGTGATCAAACAACCTCTGGGAAAGTATGTAATAATTATGCACTATTGTTCAGTCCAACATAGTTATAAAGTAACACAACCTATCTGCCTTTTGACATGAAAGCAGTAAGCAAAGAAAAAAAGATGCTAAACAAATGTCATGTCTTAATCTTCATTCTGTTTTATTTACTTAAGCTCCTCTTTGGAGCAGGATCTGAAAACTTTGCTGTCTTTATTACTTATCACTCAGAATGTTCATATAAGCTAGGGAAATAATATAATCCCCATTTTATGGACTTGGAGGTAAAACATGGTCAAGATAAGCCCCTAGGTGTTGAAGGACATCGGTGTGTGGAAGTTAGGGGGCTTCAGTTCCAAGCTCATGGGTGCCAGCCTTTAGCCCGAACTCTGGACCAAGCTCCTTATGTTGTGAATGACACCTGAGAAGGCGTCATCCAGAACAGCCAGGCAGGTAGGCAGAGTGTCACAGACCGTCCCCTGTGGTAGCCCTCTGCTAACCCAGAGGGAATTTGCTGAGGCCAGGGGTAGGTCTGCGATGGTGCCTTTAAGGTTCCTCTGTACATTCCATGTTCAGCGGTTTTTGACAGACCGTCCCCTGTGGTAGCCCTCTGCTAACCCAGAGGGAATTTGCTGAGGCCAGGGGTAGGTCTGCGATGGTGCCTTTAAGGTTCCTCTGTACATTTCATGTTCAGCGGTTGTTGGGTGACAAACAGACGCAGACCCAGCGTTTGAAGATGGCCGGCATGCTTCGGCAATGCCTGTTGCCTCAAAGCCCCCGAGAGACCTGGGCAAAGGCACGGGTAGTTTCTGAACTCTGTTCCAGCTTAGGGGTGGCCTCGGCATGAGCCATGCAGCCCTGGCAGTCTGGAGCTGTGCTAGGCAGGCAGAGAGGCACCCAGGGAAACTTTACAGGCAAAATAAAACTATATTCAGTGGTAGGCAGGTGGCAAATGAAAGTCTGCAGCATTGCGGTTTTTGAGCTTTGGTACCTGGACTGCATCTCGGACACTATTAAATGCCTTTTCTGTGTTTGCCAAAAGACATGCGTTGTAATGCAGCAAGTTGAACCTTGATTTTTCTTGTGTGTACCTATTTTTTTTTTTCTCTTCTGTTGTTCAATTCCTTATAATGGACGCATTTGGCCGCTGTCAAATTGAAGGATTTTTTGCGTACTTGGTTGGCTGACTCTTTTTTTACTAATTTGCTGATACAGTCAACTGTGCCAGTAAAGCAATTATGCAAAATTGTGTATAAAGGTTTAATGATACAAAACAGTGTTCATCACAAATCTAATTATGATTCTTACCATCCTTCCATACACTAAAGGTTTTGAGATGTTTAGGATCTCTGTGGTTAATATCTATTTTGTTAAAAATTATATTTAGTTGTAGCAGATAAGGGAATATTTAATGTACCTGTCCCTGTTAACTTGGAAGGAAGCAATAAGAAATAGTGACTTGGAAGTGTTCAGATAATAGTTTATATGCTTTCAGGTGGTGATTATGAGAAGTCTGCTTTATTACATGTCTCATTAGGTTACAGTGTTATCTGTTTTACATTACAAATGATAACGATGTATGGTTGATTGTGCACTGAGTCTAATACAACACAAAGATAAAAATATAAAGATGGACATAGTAACAAAGCGTGTGTCTGAATACTGAAAACAAAGAGATAGTGGGTTAAAACAGAACTGACAGGTACAGTGTACTGGGGTTTGATATCTGGTTTCCACTAGGGTAACTGAACTGGTTCAGGAAAAGAGCAGCAAAGGAATACTTGGTAATGCTTTCACTGAAGCTGAAAATCCCATCGGCTTTTCTTGGTCCAGAATAGAGCATTTAGAAACATTTCAAAACTGATATTTCTGCTTCATGTTTGCATTCATATTTTCTGATTTCTGCCCTGCTGCTTTCCTTGGGAACCCTGGCTGGGATTTAATCCTACCACAGAAAGTATTAGCAAGTCAGATATTGTTATTATTAGGACTGACATTTAGTAGAGTCTCGTTTGTATCAGGTCATCATATACTTCAGGGAAAACACCTTCTACCACAGCCAGTAGAGGCAAAGCACACACTGCTTCCCCTTGGGTACGTCCATCAGACTGCGTCTGAGGAGGGAGAGCAAAAACCGTCCCTCCTTTCTATTCCTTTCCTGGTTAACAGTCCTCGTTAGCTGTATGTCATCTTTGCACTAAGGAAGCGTTAAGGACTGTCAGGACAGGGAATAATGAATAACCTGGTGGTGCTTTCCGCTGCCTCCTTGATGGGGAGGGAAGCTGGTCACACTTGGGTGCTGAATTATGAAGGTGAGTTCTGTTCACTTGCGTGTTCCTTGTAATCAGATATGTGAGCTGTTTTATACTGAACACAGCAGTCTGTGGCTTGTATAAACAGCTTGAACTTACTGCTTTCTGAAAACAGAGGCCTGAAGCAGTCGTGGAGGTTTCAGGAATGTTAATTGTTTGTGTACATGAATGAGCTTATAAATGGTTGTTTTTGCAGTCTTCCATAGCTCTATGAGGGTAACTGTGTCACTGCCAGAAAAAAGAAAAGATTTTTTCCCCCCCCAGTCTACTAATACTTTCAGGGTTCGATATAATGTGCCTTTAACAAACCGTGAACTTCTCTCCTACTGAGCCACTGCATCCTGCCTACATTCAGTGTGGGCTGAGAACCATTATACTAATCCACTCTCCCATCATATCTCTAGCAAACACATGTAAGTGTTTTTATTTGAATATTTATTTTGATGCAAGGAGTGTTAAGTCTTTTATTTGGCAACACAAACAAGTAGGAGATTGTGAATTCTCAACTTTGAAACCTTAACTGTGGAAGTGTGGTTTTCAGCTACGGCATGTTCTGATGAACGTACGACAGTCACGTTTGGCTTTAAGAGAGTAATCTTGCCACCTCACAACAACCTTAGAATAGTTCACCTCTGCAGGTAAGAGAGCCTTAAGATGTAGATGCCGAAATGATCAGTCTTTTGCTTTGTTTTTTAACAGGTACGGTTATATGCAAGGCCTGATGCAATCCGGAGAGGATCGGGGGACTATGCTCTAAATATTACAAGGAGACTCATTGAATTTTATGAAGATTATTTTAAAGTGCCCTATTCTCTGCCAAAATTAGGTAAGATTTCCCCTAGAACATGAAGTTTACCCAGAGGCAGGAGATTAAGTCAGCCTTTTTAAAGGAAATTTAAGACTGCAATGTACTAGTTTTCAAGGTAAGAAATGTTTGGGTTAAGAAGGAATATTTGTTTAGAAGGCTCAGTAAGTAAGGAATTTTTCCTCTCTTCCTTGCAGAGGAAGGAAAGTCCAATTGTCCCTTTTCCAGCCTTGCACTGACAGCAGCAGGAGGCAGAAAGTACTTAAATTTGTTAGGCAGTGGGACTCTAGGAAGAGAACGTGAGATCTTTCATTGGTGAAGTGGGTTGTTTGGTTTTTTTTTGATGCTGTTTATTTTGGTCCTTACTTTCGTTATGTAGCCACTGGGAGATGTTTGTTCTGTAATATTTGTGTCTTGATGCCTCAGCCTTAAATGGGGAACAGAATTGAAAATATTTGTGGAAACTGGGGACCTGTGCAAGTACAAGCAGTGGTTTTTTATGCTGGCTTATGTGGTTTGTTAATGATGATTAGTACATATACTTAATTGTATTGTTGCTTATCAAAAGAATTGCTGTGAACTTGTTTTGCTGCTCAAGTGACCTAAATGTAAAAACTGTCAATTTTTATTATGTTTTTAAATAGTTTCTTCTCCTCCTCCCTTCCACTACAACCAATTGTTGTCCTACACACTTGAATACTTTACACCATATTATTACACCCTCCCTCCTTCAGGGCATGTTTGATCAAGATCCAGAAAAGCCTATTGCTCAGCAGCAGGAAGAGAGCTTGTATTTGATCAGAAGTGTTAGAGTGGGAACCACAGGTGATCCTCCCAGGAACTCGGGGTATATTTCATTAAATCCCTTGCCTGCTGAGTAGCTTTATTAGTCTTACAGCTAACAGTGTAGGAGATAGATAAAGTAATTGATGTAGCTAGATGAGGGTGTTGCATGAATTTTTTATAAGAATGTTGTGGCATTTGTTTCTCGTCATCTTTAAATGATGGGTTACAGGCAGCGTTCTCCTGGAGAAACATGCAGATGTGTTAAACATGGCATGTGCATCAGACTTTGTGTGTGTCCTTTCATACTCGGCTTCAGGTATGTAATGATGATTTCATAAAGGAAGTTATAGACTTAACAGGTGCCAAAAATTTAGAAGGAAAAAAATAATCAAAAACTCTCCGTTGAATATAAAGGATGAACAGTGGGACTCTGATGATTACTTCAGGTAGTTTACTGAGGATGCCAGGTAGCAGCAGACACTAGTGACTGTATCTACTCCAGAATACCTTTCACAGTTGCAACGTATAGTCTTTGAACTTAACATGCTGTTAAGCATGTTCTCATTATGCTGTGGCATATCATTCTCCATGATATTTGGGAAGTCCTGGCAGTCAGGTGAAGTCCCTGGTGACTGGAAAAAGGGAAACATAGCACCTATTTTTTAAAGGGTAGAAAGGAAGACCCTGGGAACTACTGACCTGTCAGCCTCACCTCTGTGCCTGGGAAGATCATGGAACATGATTCGAGACAGCCAGCATGGCTTCACCAAGGGCAAGGCCTGCCTGACCAATCTAATGGCATTCTATGATGGAGTGACCATATCGGTGGACAAGGGAAGAGCTATCAATGTTGTCTATCTGGACTTCTGTAAGGCCTTTGACACGGTCCCCCACAATTTAGAGAGAAGGATTTGATGGGTGGACTGTTTAGTGGATGAGGAATTGGTTGGATGGTTGCATCCAGAGGATAGTGGTCAATAGCTCAATGTCCAGATGGAGGCCAGTGTCAGGGGTCCGTACTGGGACCAGTACTCCTTATGTGAAGCACTTCTGTCATCTCTGTGGTCATCCATTCAAACTCTCTATATGGTAGGAGTATCTGAGGACATTTAGGCTCTTTGGATGTGTTGCTATATCAGATGGACCTGTGTTAATTTGTTCACTTCTTATGTCACTGAGTCCATTTCCAAGGATCCTTGGCATTTTAAGCTGGTGCTTGTCACCTGAGTTTGTAATAAATCAGCTGGTGTTCTCTATAGGGACCACTTTCTGCTTACGCTCTTGACTACTTGACTGTTTTTGACAAGGCTTTTTTACGGTGCTAACATGAAGTCACATGTCAGTGGTTACTGTTGCCAGCTGTGGGCTCCTCTGACTTCTTGGCATCCTCTGTTACTGTTGGGGACTGTGGAGAATCTGGGGGAACCTTTCTGTCACCCAATGACTAAGATTTTTTAGCTCTTATATGGCCTGTACTGACTTCTGAGTGCACTGGACCAGTAGATTTGTTTGCCAGCTGCTGTGAATTCTGGTAATGAATGTGAAGGGGGGATTTTTCTCATTTGAATAACGTATTTTTGCTTTTAAGTTCTACTTAGGTTGTAGATATGTGCTTTCTTTCCACATCATACTCTGAACTGGAAGGTTTTAAACTAATAAGTTTTATATGAATTTAATTTCTGAAAAATAAGTCAGATCTTTAAAAAACCCAGATTTTTGCAGTACTGTAATATCATTTTAAACACTAGTTACAATGAGGGGTGGATAAAGCATTGGGCTTTATTTAATTCTAAAAAGATATACAGTAGGGTTTTTAATTGTGTTTCTATGGCTGGTGAATATAAAATAGATTTCTGTATTTGTATTACTTTTTAATCCACTTTGCACTACACACACAAAAAAAATTATTTGTATGCTTTTTCTTATGAGGATCTTCAAGACTGGAATGGTTTCCCTGTGGGGAATGATTAGGTAAGCAAGCACTCTACATGTGGACAATTGTGACTCTTACGTTTTGAATGATTTGGGGTGGAGAGGCTGACTGCCTTTTCCAACCAAGACTCAAGGGCCACCCAGAGAGGTTAGCAAGAGGCAGGTGCAGAGAACACAAAAAGATCACCGTTACTGCAGCAGGTGGTAAATTTGTGAAACCTCTTTGTCAAAAGAGATTGTAGATGCAAAAAGATTATACAGATCCAAAGAGAGACAGGACAAGTACTTGGAGAGGCGCTGCATCAGAGGAAATCCCATGGTTTTAAAATAGAAGATGGGAAATACTCAGGAGAATGCTATTTATATTTCCCTGGTCTTACTCTTTCCTGAACATCTGGGTCAATGTCCCAAGCCTGTTGGTGTTTAAGAGGCATTTGGACAATGTCCTTAATAATATGCTTTAATTTTGATCAGCCCTGAAATGGTCAAGCAGTTGGCCTAGATGACGGTTGTAGGTCTCTTCCAACTGAAATTATCCTATGCTATCCCATCCTATCCTATTTTAACCCCTGAGCTTAATTTAAGTGTCCTTTGTACCATTAAACTTTCACAATATGCAGACCTGGGAAGGAGATGTAACTCAGGCAGTTTAGTGATGGACAGCTGTGAATACGGTTGGGAGGAACTCGGGCTTCTCGGAAAGCTTTTAATTCCCCATTGAAAGTGTCCTGAACGGTAGGAATATGAAGAGCTGAAGAATCTGCACTGGGACATTGCTGCGTATGTTACAGAAAGGCTGAGTGAAAGTAAATCCCCTTGCTGTTTTGTCTTGAGTTCAGAGGATATGAATCAATATTTAATACATAAATACTGCAATTTGTGTGTGAGCACTATAGTGTTAAATATATGGTTAAATTCCTCCCCCCTGACTTTAGGAAGTGTCTTTTTCTGTAGATTTGCTGCACAGCAAATTTTGGGGTTACATGTGATGTATTTTATGTTTTTTTTTTTCTTACAAGTATGTTCAATATACTAATTACCTGGTTTATGCAAAAATGATATGGTCTTTTTTTCATTATATTTCATAAAACACTTTAGAGTAGTGAATGCAAAGTCTCAGAAAATGATTTTCCAAGGGATTTAGTGTACATGCACCAAAATAAAAGACAAGATTGGACCATTAACATTTGCTCTTTGAATATTTTTGGAGAACGGGATTCAGCTTTTAAAGTATGTCACAGAAGAATTGAAACTCTTTTTTACGATGTAAAAAATAGCCATGTAAAGAAAAAGTTCAACAAGGAACTGTTCTGATTTTTAAAGAAAACATGTACCTCTGCTCTGTTCCCTGGCTGTTGACTTAATATTTGGGTGAGAGAGAGTGCTGCAGCCTGTTGCTGTGAGAGGCATCACAGGCCCAGAATAAAAGCGTGAAATACCATTGTAGGATGGCCAAGTGACTTGCTGTGAGCATTAGTGATGAAGTGTTTGTTTTGATTTAATTGCTTTACTATTAGCTTGACTGTTTGACATGTTCCTAACATGTTCATTGCCATATTGCCTTCTGCCTTGCTTGATCTTCCATCATCTTCATCTGCTTTCTAACTTCCCCTTTGTTTGTCCTTCCTCCTGTCTCTGTTGCTCCTTCTGTGATGAACCTCCTTGTTGTTGCCTGCATTCTCTGCTTTAGTTCTGCTAAAAGTTTCACAATTCCTGCCTTTGTACTGTGTCTTTTTCCCTACCAAGGCGGCTTCCTGCCACCTGTCGAACTCTGACCTGGAATTGCTGTATTACAGCAAGGAAGATAGCTAATTTTTCCTTCTCCATCTGTAAAATGAAAACAGTAATTAGTACTTTTTTGGCCTTGTTTTTACAGTAGTTGAAAACGATCATCAGTTTGGCTGCCTCTTGATTAAGAGGTTGCCACCCTGAAAATTTAAGTGCTTATCTGATCTGACCTCCAGCATGGCAAAGCTTGTAGAGTTTCATAGCATTCTTATGACATCATAGCTGTAGTGTCTGTCTCAACTGTACATAGTCTTTCTGAAAGATGTCCAGTCTTTTCCACTGACAGAGAACCTGTCACAACCCTGCAGGAGAGAGGGAAAGGAACATTAGGCTCTGTTAAGTCTGAATGAGTTGTTATGCGGTCTTCTGAATCAAGAAGAAGGAAGCGTAAGAAAGGAGGTGCCCTGGGAGTGGGACATAAAACTCCTGGAATGAGGAAGGGTGGGAAAGTAGACATTAAGGACTTGATTCATGTATCTGCTTATCTGGTACTATTTAAAATGCCTTGGGGTATC